CCGCGGGCCCGCCAAGTTTTGAGGGCCAGGGCGAAGTTCCCGGCTGCCGCCTCCGTCCTGCCGTGCTCTTTCTTTCGCCACTTCTATTGTCCCCTGTCGCCCCTCCCCTGCCCCCCCCCCTTGTGGGAAGTAGGAGGAGGAGGAGGAAGAGGAGGAGGAGGAGGAGGAGGAGGAGAAGGAGGAGGAGGAGAAGGAGGAGGAGGAGGAGAAGGAGGAGGAGGCGGAGAGGGACGGGGGAATGGAGGAGGATGAGAGGGACGGGGGACCATCACACGCTATGCAAGGGAAGGCCAAGGGTTGACCGACCCGGTCCAACCTAGAACCTCTGCGACTCTTTGGCCACGATTATTCCTGCTCTTCCACCTCCTCTTCCGCCTGCTCTCCTGCTTTGAGAAAACAGGCGGTGGGTGCCAGAATGGCCAGGCGGATTGCCGCCTTCATCAGACTCGTAGGCTCACGGCCTGAGATGAGCCACTGCCATGCACTAAAAACATATGCTTTTCGTCAGGGTATCCTGGCTTTCTTCGCTCCGCGCGCTGCGCGGTGACTTCACAAGAAGCTGGTGCGTTCAAGGTGCTCCGAGTTTCCCCTCAGACGCATCTCGCGCGTGGTTGGGTTTCTTGGGAGGGTCTCCTGCGGCCGCGCCCGCACTGTAACCTCGGAGGCCTTTCAACGTGCTCTGATCGTGTTTGCCACACGACCTGCACACAACAACGAACGCCTCCACGTCAAGATTACTGAGGAGGAGAAGGAGGACCGTGGAAGCCGGGGGGAGGAGGCCGAGGAGGAGAAGGAGGAGGAGGAGAAGGAGGAGCAGGATGAGGAGGAGCAGGATGAGCAAAGGAGGGATAGGAGGGATAGGAGGAGGATAGGAGGAGGAGGAGGATTCGGTGGGCGTGCCCGTGGCCGGAGGCATTCCCATAGATACCCCACCCCATCCCTGGAGGAGGAGCAAGAGAGGACGAGGGGGGCCGGCAGAAGAGGGCAGATAGGAGGTAGGAGCCTCTATTTTTCTCCCCTGGAGGTCTGCACACCTGCCGCGGTGGGTGCGCCAATAAAGCCGCAGGCCAGCTGACCAGTTGACTTGGGCAACCAATCAGCCTTCCCCGAAGAGAGGTGGATTGCGGCTGGCGAAAGAAGGGGTGGACGACGGAGGGTGACTCGCCAAATAATGCCCTTGTCTGCGGGGGGGGGGGCCCGTGAGAGTCGGGACCAGGGCCTTCCCCCCGAAGTCAAGCCAGCGGCAGCGCGGGGACGGCAAACACCCCGACTGGGAAGGACGCCCAGCGCCTGCGCCCCAGAGCACCTGGAACCCCCTGACACACCCCCGCAGCCCCTTTCCCGCAAGCAAGCTCCCTCGGAAAGGGAATCTTCGGTGGGCGTGCCCGTGGCCGGAGGCATCCCCATAGATACCCCACCCCATCCCTGGAGGAGGAGCAGAGAGGACGAGAGGGGGCCGGCAGAAGAGGGCAGATAGGAGGCAGGAGCCTCTATTTTTCTCCCCTGGAGGTCTGCACACCTGCCGCGGTGGGTGCGCCAAGAAAGCCGCAGGCCAGCTGACCAGTTGACTTGGGCAACCAATCAGCCCTCCCTACGGGTCGAGGCCACGAGAGGAGAGCGGCCCCGCCAGGGAGCCAGCGGCGCGGGTCCGCATAAGAGGGAGCGGGACCAGCCGGCCACCCGAGGTTAAAGGAAAACAGCATTCAGTCCTCGTGAAGCAAGCGGCGCCAGCGCGGCTGCCGCTGCAGGACGGAACACGCCGCCACGTGCGCCGGTGCACTAACGCCCGGCGGCGCTGGAGTAGCCTCAGAGCCCCGAATCATCAGGGGTAACTCGGGTCAGGGATAACTCGGGTTCGTTTTTCGGGATTCCGAACCCGAGTTACCCCGGACCCGAGTTACCCCGGATATCTCGGGCGTCCAGAGCCCCGAATCATCAGGGGTAACTCGGGTCAGGGCTAACTCGGGTTCCTTTCTCGGGAATCCAAACCCGAGTTACCCCGCACCCGAGTTACCCCGGATAACTCGGGCGCCCAATAGCCGCCAGCGCGGCCCCTGCGCAAGACAGCAGCAGGTCGCGCCGCTCGTGCTCCTCGTACCGGGCATAGATGGCCCGCATCGTGTCTGGGCCGCTCCAGCCGCCCTGGGCCTGTATGATGTCTTCAGGGGCGCGGCAGACGACCTTCCACCAGTGCGCGCCGACTTTGCGGAACCAATGGGGACCGATGGAAACCCTGCCAAAATGGCCTGCCAGGGACTTGCGGATCGATTCTGCGGACACCGGCCGCGCGTCAGCGATGCGGGTGACGCAGAAGACTGGGTCTTCCAGGCGATCCGGAGCCCAGATGCTGTGCAGGATCTCGAACCAGGTCCGCAAGAGAACAACCAGACACTGCTGCCCTAGCTGGGGCAGGGCTGGCACGTGACAGCGCATCCCTAGGCCGAAAGGGTCGTTCTTTTGCTTGCGCGCGAACACCTCAGCGAAAGTTGGCTGAAGCGTTACATCCCTGAGTTGCAAGGCTTGCATCTCAGAGACGCGCCTGGCCGAAAAAAAACATAACGATCCCGCGGCGGCATCCCGCGCGCCTGCTGTGCTGCGCGCGGCCAGCCGAGCAGCCACGTAGCCCTGTCAGTCGTCGAACGACAGAGGGTCTTTCGCGCGACTGCGGGAGTGGTCCGCGCGCTTTTTCAGCCCTCGCCAGAAATGGGCGGCTCTCTCGCCCCAGGCTGCGTCGAAGGCAGAACTGAGCCCCCGTTCCTGATGCCACGCGCGAATGGCAGCGCAGGCCGTGGTAATGGAGGACCACGGCTTCCGTCCAGGCCAGCAAAGAGCAGCATGACCTTCGACTCGGCATCACGCGGAAGGAGTGCTAAGCTGGACGTTCCTTCCGCTACGTCGACAACACTACGCAGTACTGCAGTGTATTGGTCTTGTGTTGAAGGCTCCCAAGCCGCTTGCAAACAAACTCGAATTGTGGAAAGCGCCTGTAATCGCGCATCTTTGTGCGCGGGCGACTCCGCGGCCGAGATTGCCTCCAGCAGCCCTGGGCGTGGAGCTAATAGCTTTCGGGCGCCCAGTCGATCAATTGTCGAAGAACTGGCCGGGTGAGCCGCACCGGGGTTCTGGCGGCTCGCTCCGGTCCCGCTGTGGTTCGGGTCTGCCGTCTCAGGTCCCTGGGGGACGTGGCGTTCTGGGGCCGCGAGGGTACCCCCCCTGGGACGGCGTGGATCTCGGTCCGCGTCGTCCTGCGGGTACCTGCTCCTGCGGCGGCAGGCTCCAGCTACTGTGTTGGCCCTCCCGTCACGTCGCGGGGCAAGGGTGTGGCTGGGGGGGTCGGCCTACGGGCACGGCCCAAGATGTGGTCCCACCTGACCCCCCTTGGGCAAGGGGGTCTTCGGGGGTGGGCCTGGGCACCCATGACCTTCCCGCACCGCGTGCCCCGCGAGGTGACCCGTTGGGCCCGTTGGGGGTGTCCAGCGCCACCTGGTGCTGGAAGAGCCAGGTAGGCATGGGGGCCGCTCACCTTCGGTGAGTCGGCGCTGCACATCGCGCAGCACATGTGATGCCGGCGCCTCTTTCCTTTTCTTTGTTTCTCTCTCCTTCTCTCTTCGTTCTCTCTCAGGCCCCGTCGGCGGTGTTGCGGCTCCCGTGCTCTAGGGAGTCGTGGGGGGTGGGCGTTTGGCCCCTTCCGCTCGCGGCGTGACAGACCTATGTTGCGCTATGGCTGTGCCGAGGAGGAGGAGGAGGAGGAGGAGGAGGAGGAGGAGGAGGAGGAGGAGGAAAAGCGACGGAGGGCGGGGGATGGGAGGGGGGGGGGGGGGACGGGGAGGATGAGGGTGAGGAGGAGGAGGAGAGGAGGAGGAGGAGGAGAGGAGGAGGAGGAGAAGAGTAGGAGGAGGAGGAGGAGGAGGGGGAGGAGGAGGAGGAGGAGCAGGAGGAACGAGAACAGGAGGAGGAGAAGCAGAGGAGGAGGAGAAGGGAGGGAGGAGGAGGAGGAGGACGAGGAGGAACCAGGAGGAGGAGCATGGTGGAGGAGAAAGGAGGACGGAGAAGGAGAGAGAAGGAGGGAGGAGGGGGTGGAGGAGGAGGGGGAGGAACAGGAGGAGGAGGAGCCATGAGGAACCAGGGGCAGGAGGAGGACGGTGGAGGAGAAAGGAGGAAGGAGAAGGAGAGAGATTGAGGCTGCGGAGGAGGAGGAGGAGGAGGACGAGGTTGCCTATTTGCAGGAGGAGTAGGAACACGAGGATTAATCCGGTGATGGTGATTATGATGATTGTGGTGCTGATGGGGGTGGTAGTGGTGGTGATTTGGTGATGGTGTCTATGGTGGTTCTGGTGATTGTGCTGATGAGGAAGATGAAGAGGTGCTGCTGCCGCTGCTGATAAGGATGATGCTGATGGTGATGATGATGGCGATGTCGATGATAGTGATGGCGATGAGGATTATGAGGGCGATGCTGATCGCGACGTGGATGATGCTGATGCTGATGACGAGCGTGTGGATGAGGTGGTGTTGATGATGATGATGATGATGACGATGACGGGGGACTCCCTTTCTCCTCTCCTCGCGACTCTTCGCCATTGCACGCTGATCGCGACCGCAGCCCACTGGGGGTCGCCAGCGGGTCCAAGGCGCCTGCATGCCTGTTTGCGTGAGCGCGACGCCGACCGAGTTGTCCGCTCCATGGAGCGCAACGACTTCGGCGGTGGGAGGAGGGTGGACAGGGAGGGGAGCGGGGGAGGAGAGTTGCATTGGAGTGAGGAGGAGGAAGAGGAGGAAGAGGAGGAGGAGGACCAGTGTAAATCCAAGAGCCACCACCGATGTTGGAATAAACCCTCCCTCCAAGTTCCCTCTCCATAGGCCCCTACGAGGATTACTTTTCCATTCGGAGAACTGCATCGTTGGCCGGCCGCGCCTCCGCGCCAGCGGCAGCTCGTCCGCTCACTCGTCGGACTCCGTCGGTTCGGCGACGACAAAGGTCCCTGCGCCCACCGCCGCCT